TACCTAATTAAAAATTTATTACAAAATTTTTATTTTGTCTCTATTAAGCTTTTTTTCTTTTTTTTTTCCGTTGTGTGATTAAATTAATATTAAAGTATGATTTCTCAGCCTTACCAATAAAATTATATAAGTATTAGATATATTGAAAAAGTAGAATTAGATAATTTAAATAATAACATTTTGCCACAAATAATAATAGAAAAAAATAATATACTAATTAAATTATAAAAAGAACTTTGTGAAAAACTTAAAAAAAATCAATTAATAATTATAAATGGAATTTGACATATAATATTAGATAAAGGCAAACACACGTAGTCATTTTAGAAGATAAATAAGAAAATATTATAGATAATTACTCTTATCCTCATAAAGAAAATTCACCATAAGAGGTAACACCCACTTTTTACAAATAGAATTAAAATTTAAGTTTTTTTTGAAATAAAATTTTAATTAGATTAGGTTCTTTTACCAATTTATAATATTTATGAGCTTATATTTTATTTTTGTAACCTTTTCAGAGATTAAATAGGTTTGATTTAAATATCTTAGACACTTAATAGATTCAATCAATAATTTATGAACTAAATAGATTTTAATCTATATATACTGTAGGGATTTAATACACTGACAATTTGACGATAATTTAGAGGTATAAAGTGTAATAAACCCATTACACTAACCTTAAAATTTGATTTTTTTTTTTAAAGTTTTGATGTAATTATATTAATTTTTCTTTTAATACGGTTAAATGGATCAGAATTAATGTAAAAATATAAAATAATTTAAGATATAAGTTGTGAGTAAAAGAAATGAGAAGATCATTTTTTTATTCATGTAATTAATAAATTATTATTCAATATGAGACTTAGTATTTCAATATAATTATATTAGCATATTACTCATGCAATGCATGAGTATAAATAAATAATCAAAACATTAGTTTTTAAATTAAAATAATAATATAAAATTTATTTAAAATATGTTGTAAAAGTGATTTATGATCAATTAAATTTTATTAATTTTTATTAGAGTTACACTAAGAGAAGATTTTTATTCTAATGTCATTAATTGTATTTTCTAAGTTCTTAAGAAAAACCTGCATTTCATAATTAATTGGTAAAATTTAAATAATAAATTACAAAATTTTTATTTACAATCAAATATAAATACATTTCATTTTATAAGTTTCATAATTTTAATTTACCATATGATAGTAATAAATTAATATACTAACTTTTTCTTATTTTGTAAAGCCTAAAAATTTGTTTACTTAAAATTGTTGTCATTACTCTTATGTGAAAACGGATTAGAATTGACTTGTGCTGTTGGACTAAAAATTAGAAGTGACCTGAAAGCTAGTTGATTGAATATTTATGCCAATGTGACATTCACATAGTCATTAAAAATTGTCTTGATTATTTAAAATTATCTTTATCGGTTTGTAACCCGTATGAGTTAGTTTGAGGGTTCTAATATGAGATTAAATATTAAAAATGAGTCTAGAAATTTTAGTTCGAGTCGATTTTTTTTTCTCCAACATTTCTTGGTTTAAGCCTATAAGACATCTTATTTTAATAACTCAATATGATAAGAAACCAATAATCTTAATGTTTATGGTGCTTTTTGTCAATTAATAAAAAAAATATTATAAATATTAAGAGAATTACATTTGAACAAATTCTAACATAATTTTTTTACTTGAAAACTCTAAAACCTACACATTTTGTTTGATTCTATCTACGTCACTAATCTTTGGAGGTTTCATGATTTTTTTTTTTAATGGAATGCCTGTTTACTATAATATAGATATATAGATTGGAATATCGATGCATATAAAATTATTAAACATCAAGAAAAAAAAATCTATGAAAGATGTAGATTAATTCTTATATTTTAGTAGTATAAAAATTCAAATTCAAATTTATATCTTAGTTAACTTTCCTTTTCAATTTCTAAATTTAAATTTTTAAATAAATTAATTAACTTTCTTTTTGAAATGTGTAAATTAAGGCATAAAAGTTATTTATATTTTTAAATAGATTAACTAACTCTCTTTTTAAATTTAAATTTTTAAATGAATTAATTAACTTTCCTTTTAAAATGTGTAAATTAAGGCATAAAAGCTATTTGAAATTTTAAATAGATTAATTAACTTTCCTTTCAAATTTAAATTTTTAAATGAATTAATTAACTTTCCTTTTGAAATATGTAAATCAAGGAATAAAAGCTATTTAAATTTTTAAATAGATTAATTAACTTTCCTTTTAAATGGATTAATCACTATTTTTTTAAATGATTAATAAAAGTTAACCAATAGATTTTTTTTAATTCTTTAAAAAATAAGAATTCTAGAAAAATAGTACAAGGGTTTTGAACTTCAACGGTGCCTTTTCATTAAAAACTCTATTTTACTTATATATATATATATATGTGTGTGTGTGTGTGTGTGTGTGTGAATTGTGTATTTTACAATTATCTATATATGTGAATTGTGATTTTTAAATATATTTTTTAAATGTTTTCTTTTTTTCTTTTTTTATATTATATTAAAGTTTAATTTTTTGATAATAATCATATATGTTAGACTTTTCAAGGAATTAAATATCTTTTTTTATTATTATATTATATTAAAGTTTAATATTTTGATAATAATCATATGTGTTAAACTTTTCAAGAAATTTTTTTTATGCTTGTTCTTAATGCATTAAAGTGTTATTATGAGGGATAATAATCATATGTGTTGGGACTTTTCAAGGAATTCATATATGTTAGATTTCAAAGAATTTTTCCTATACTTGTTCTTAATGCATTAAAGTGTTATTATGATGGTAAGACTTGGGAGTTGTCAGAAGTTAATAAATGCTAAGATTTTTTTTTTTAAATAAAAAAATCAGGAAATTTAGATTGGGAGATTGGAGCTCTCACAAGGCTTGGGGTTAAAAACCTCATTTTGCTTAATATATAGTATAGATAGATGTTTCACCCGTGCTATGCACGGGTTGTATTTATATTTTGACCAAATCTCTCAAAAAGTATGTTGATTGGCAAAGGTTAATAAAAGCTGATGAGAGAATTTTGACAAAATCTCTCAAAATGCATGTGGATTGGGAAAAGTTAATAAATGCTAAGGTTTTTTTTTTTAATCAAAAATTTAGAAAATTAATATTGGGATATTGAAGTTCTCACAAAGTTTGTGGGTTAGAAACTCCCTTTCCCTTATATAATACTAGCATATCACCCGTGCTATGCACGGATTGTGTTTATAATTATCTATATATGTGAATTGTGATTTTTAAATATTTTTATTTTATTTTTTAAATGTCTTCTTTTTTCCCTTTTTTATATTATATTAAAGTTTAATATTTTGATAATAATCGTATGTGTTAGACTTTTTAAGGAATTAAATGTCTTTTTTTATTATTATATTATATTAAAATTTAATATTTTGATAATAATCATATGTGTTAGACTTTTCAAGAATTTTTTTTTTTATGTTTGTTCTTAATGCATTAAAGTGTTATTATGGGGATAATAATCATATGTGTTGGGACTTTTCAAGGAATTCATTTGTGCTGGATTTCAAATAATTTTTTTTATGCTTATTCTTAATGCATTAAAGTGTTATTATGAGGGTAAGACTTGGGAGTTGGGAGAAGTTAATAAATGCTAAGATTTTTTTTTTAAAATCAAAAAATCAATAAATTTAGATTAGAAGATTGGAGCTCTCACAAGGCTTGGGTTAAAAACCCCATTTTACTTAATATATAGTATAGACTAGCCTATCATCCGTGCTATGCACAGGATAATTATAGATATTTATATTTGTTTTAATTTTTTTAAATATATAAATTATGTTTTTTAAGATTTTTATAAAAATAATTTAACAATCTTATTACTAACCACAGTGTACAAGAGAAATTAAAAAGGCTACAGCAGTAACTATGTACGGGTTGTATCTATAATTATTTATATGAGGAGATTTTAAATGCTAATCAGGAATTTTGACCAAATCAATAAATGCAGGCATGTGGATTAGAAAAGGTTAATAAATGCTGATCAAGGGATTTTGACCAAATCAATAAATGCTGAGATTTTTTTTTAAATAAAAAATTTAGAAAATTAAGATTGAGAGATTGAGCTCCCATAAGGCTTGGGGTTTAGAAACCCTATTTTTCTTAATATATTTACAATTATCTATATATGTGAATTGCGATTTTTAAATGTCTTCTTTTTTTCTTTTTTTATATTATATTAAAGTTTAATATTTTGATAATAATCATATGTGTTGGACTTTTCAAGAAATTTTTTTTATACTTGTTCTTAATGCATTAAAATGTTATTATGAGAGATAATAATCATATTTGTTAGGACTTTTCAAGAAATTCATATGCGTCGGATTTCAAAGAATTTTTTTTTATTCTTGTTCTTAATGCATTAAAGTGTTATTATGAGGGTAAGACTTAGGGATTGGGAGAAATTAATAAATGCCAAGGTTTTTTTTTTAAATAAAAAAATCAAAAAATTTAGATTGGGAGATTGGAGCTCCCACAAAGCTTGAGGTTAAAAACCTCATTTTACTTAATATATAATATAGATATAGATTAAAATTATAGAGTTTATTATATATATATATATATATATTCAAATATAACGGACTGGTATGATTTGTGCTAAGAGCATCTCTAATGTTAGATTTGATAAGATACAAATCGCCTCTTATAATTCTGAAAATTACATTTCATCTGGTGAGATTTTTAATTTTATAACAAATTATCTATTTTATTAATAAATTATTAAATCAATTAACAGTTTTTAAGGTTGTTAGAAATATATTTTAATTATAATTTTATTATTGTATAGAAAAATAATTATAATTTTTTTAATTAATTCTGTACAATTTATATTTTAAATAATCTTAAAAATTATATTTACTCAAAATACATTAATGATAATATAAAAATTAAATTACATTACTATTTCATCTAGGACCATCCTTTTAAATTTCATAACTATATATTCAGAGCAAACGAAGTGGTTGCTGCTAGCTCTAGCCGCATACACAGAATAAAGAGGAGTAGGAGAACAAAAGCAATTGGTGCGAAAACCACAAGCATTTTCTGGTAATTCCACTTTTTCTCTCCTCTTTCCCGAACCATCCCACCGTAACGCTACAATATTTGTCAACGATAAAAGCAATAATATGTTATTGTTCTTCCATTTCGCGATCTCAAGAAAAAAAAATAGGGGTTTCGTGATCTGCACAAAATCATCAAAAAAAGTAATCTTTTCCAGTTAATAGTTTTGCCTATCTCATAAGCATACATATATAGTGTTAGTTTCTGTATATGTATGAAGTACCTGTTCTTTTTCTAGGGCAGAGGGGTTGTTGTTGGTAGCCATTGAAACCTGAATGAACTGAAAGATCAATCAGAAAAAATATTCAGAAACAAGAAGTCACTCACCAATCAGAAAAAATATTCCGAAATTATTTTACATTTTCAATTATATACTTCCGAATTATTTATAAATTTTTGATACTTAATTTTTGAATTTTTTAAATTAAATCGGTTCTGTAGTGCCGAATGTTTTACAATTTTTCAGTACTTGATATCAGAGTAGTTTATGCAAGCAATGGATAGGGTGTAACAATGGAGTGTAGCAAGTAATGGAAAACAATAGAGGTAGTGAGAAACAATGCAGGAACTAAGTTTTAATTTTTGTTTTTTTTTTAAAAAAAAGTTGTGCATTGAGAATTTGTTTTCTAAAGATGTGTATAGAGAAATCTAGATTTAATTAGTAGTGTGTATTGATGTCCATTATGGTCATTTTGTTTCATTATAAAATTGTCATAACTTTCTTTTTTTTTTTTCCATTAATTTTGTACACGGAGACAAAATAGTGTGGAAATAGAATTTCCCATAATAAACAGAGACTAGATCACAAGGCCAAGAGACATGCCCCCTCAGTCTTCAGGTAATGTTCTACTTCATTGTCATTGCTAGACATGTTAATACTTCTTAGGGGTTTACATTCTTTTCTTCAGTTCATCTTTGTCTAGAGTCAAGTTCACTAGTTGCATTATTTTTTTTGCCGTGCATTATTTTTATTAGCATATATATATATATATGTTTTTTTTTTAATTATATTAATGAACAAGAACTTTTGGAGTGCAACTGTTTTATTTTCTAATAGGTTTCAATGCTTGGAAACAAGAGTAAATAGTTTCTTATATATATTTTTTCTTTTCATTTGTAATAAAATAGGTTGTTTACTTGAAAGTTTTGATGGCATGAGTGGAGTCGGAAAAAAGAAAATAAGGTATTCTTTGCTTCTCATTATCCTGTGTGTATTTTCCTTATTTAATTAGATTGTTTTTTATATTATTTTTATTTAATGCTTTGTTTTCGTTTAAATCTTTCAATTAATAGTTTCTCTACTCTTATAATAATGTTGCATTTTAGTAATTTGATGAAACATTTTTATTCGAGAAAAATAAAAAATCTGGTTAACATATTGTGTAGCTCATGTATTAATTTGGTTGGTATTTCTTATTTTACCTTTTGTGGTTTTGGTGGTTAACCAACCGTTGGTTCTTGCACATTTTGGTTTGAAAACCTTTACCAGAAATTATCAGTAGAGTAATTACAATCCAGTGGGGATTTTTAAAAAAAAGCAATAGGCGTGCAATGGTCTGTCACTCCATTATATCTACCGTAGTTGCAGAGACCTACCACGGCCTTTCCATCTTGCATGACAACCCAACATGCCATTTTCTTGGTTGTGCCGAACTGTTATAGTTGTGGGTAGTCAGCCATTTGATTGAATCTGTGCCTTCTCATCCTGCTTAGTTTCATGTTGAACCTATGGAGTATTTATGAGCGGCATTGATGGGTCTTACACCCACTGAAAATAAATGCTAAACTATACCAAATTCTTTCGAATAATGGTAAGTCCAGGTATCGATCTTTTTTTTTTTTTTTTAATCGGCAAAGGTTAGTTGTTAGATTAGCAACTATTGGAGAAAATCTTCTCACCCTTGGAAAAACATCTAAGTGCTTGCACTCTCTTAATTCAACCCCCGAAGGGAAATTGAACCCATTACCTCCTTGGGACGAAACCCAAATGAAGGTATGGTGGCTAATTAGGTTAGGCCTAGTTGGTTAAGTCCAGGTATCGATCTATAGGGACAAATGTGAAATTAAACTAATTTAATTGCTAAATTCCTAAATTAATTCTGATCAAAGTGCGGATTGTTTATAAACTAATGCTAATTAAAATACTAACAAATTAAACTGACGATTAAAAATGAAATTGGGATTACTAATTTTGGAAAAACCTAGGGTAATGAATTCACCACTGGTTACATAAATAAGGTTTCAATTTGAAAATCAATTATGTTACGATTCAAAGCAAATAATACTTCGCAACTACAAGTTCGAAGCATTGATCAAGAGAATTATTATGTTCAATGTATGGGTATGAACCATCTCAAGTTGCACAAGTCTTTCGCCTTAAACTAGAGTAGCAAAACGACTCGTACCTCATAGTATGGTTTGTCTCATACCTTGAATATGAAAGAATAGAAAATCATTGCATGAAAAACATTTAACAATCACAGAAAGTAGAATACTTGAAGAAATAATAGAAAATATATATAAAAATTTCTTGAATACCATACAACTTGTTCAAACCATTACATAATCAAAACCAAAAAGAAAACTCTATTTACTTGGCTAGGGTTTCATCAAAACCCTAGAAATAGAAACCTAGCCACTCATGGAGGAATGGAAAGAGGTGGAAGAAGATGAAACCCCCATGAAAGATGTTCTTGAAGCTTGAAAATCTCCCTTTCCAAACCCTAGCCCCTCCTCTCTTTTGGAATTTTCGGACCCCTAGAGTAGCTGTAGCTCGACTTTTTCGCGCCTCCTTTCGGAAGATTTGAAAGAAAGCCCTACAGTTCAGACTCCCGCAGTTTTGAATCTAATCTCACAAGTGCAATGTGAAATTGATAAACACCAAAGAGTCCAAATCCAGCACATCTTTTGGAAAATTGATTTTAGGATCAAAAATGCCAAAATTGGACTGCTGCCAAATACAGAGTCGCCACCTAAATATTTTATTTTAGGAAAATTTAGGGAACCCATGACTTGTGCCAAGGGCCACGTGTCCGTCATCACCAAAGTTGCCTCGGCTCGAGAACTTAGGTACGAGAGGGAAAGGTCATGAATTGAGCACCCCGGCTCGCCCGATCAAAGATTAGCCTCTACTAATTATGATATGATTTTTCTCAACATTATATGCTCTTGTTCCGGTTATTAAGCTAGCATTACTATGTGATGCGCACAAGCAAGTATAGACTAGTTTGTCCAAATTTGAACAATTCAATTTCATGTTTGTTTTACGAAAAGGGTTTGAATTTGCCACCTCAGGTGGGCTTAAAGTTTGCGAATTTACCACTTAACAAAGTGGGCTTAAAGCAGTGAATTTGCCACTAGACATGGCGGGCTTAAAACATACATTTGTTGAATCATTCCAATTCAAACAAGCAGCCTTCATCCATAGGCATTTAAGCTATAGCGATCCCGGGTTTACCCTTATTGTACAGTGATCCGGACATGTGTCTGTGGATGTTGGTAGTTGTTTATTATCATGTTTGCATCCTCTTTACTTTGTATATTGAGTTATAAGATGTGTTGGGCAGGTTTGTTACAGGTTGGTTGTGTTTGGGAGCCTAGTGTTGCTGCCCAGATTTTTGGACCTTCGCTCGAGCGAGGAGTTGGTCGCTCGAGCGAGAGTGAGGTTCGTGTCTGGGGATCGAGCCAGAATGGCTTCGCTCGAGCGAGCGATGGCGTCTGGTTCTGGACCTGAGAGTTGGATTTCTTGGCTCGAGCAAGCTTTTCTTGGCTCGAGCGGTCTGGGTTTTTCTTCGCTCGACCGAGAACTTCTTGGCTCGAGCGAGAGTTTTCTGTGTCTGGTCGCTCGAGCGACCAAGTCTTCGCTCGAGCGAGCGTGTTTTATATCAGCGGACAGTAGCGATTTTGAACTTCAGTTTTTCATTTCTTTTTTTGATCAAACCCTAAATCCGAGACCCTCTCTCTCTAAACTTACATTCTCTCTAAGATTTGATCTCCCTAGAGTGTGAATCTAGCCTAGACCTTTGTTAAAAAGATAGAGGGCGTTGAGAGCTTTGTTTTAATCTGAAAAAGTTTGGATTTGGAGCAAGTTGATCTTCGAGTCTTCATCTCCTTTTTGGCTTAAACTTCGAGGTAGGGATACCCTACTCCTCTCTATGGATTTTGTCTTTAAATTTTGGTATTTGAGATGTTGGGCTTGTAGGTAATTTGTGAAAGTTTGCGGGCTTTGTGCAATTTTACAAAAAGTTGAGGTTTTATTCATAATAAACCTAGATGCATGTTTGGCTAATAGAGAAATGGAATTAGATGGTTAATCATTGATGAAAATGGGAACCTAGAGGATTGAATGGTAATTATGGAAAATGGCCTAATTACCACTGTTGGATTAATTGGATAATTAATGGTAGAAATAGTAGGAAATGAAATGTTGATGAAGTATCCATTGTGCATTGTATTTTCTTTTAGAATAACTAGCTTGGCTATCGGTGGAGGATTGGTCGTGATTGTTGTAGACAATGCATGATGATTAAGTAAACGGGAACTAATCAATGGAATGTGTTATGGAACTTGACAGTTGCTAGAATACATTAATTGTTTGTATTGTGTGATTGTATATAGAACCAATGTGTTTATATACGTTTTGTGTAGAGGAGGAGATAGGGGATGTACTCCGTAGACAGAGCTCATATGCTTGTCTAGAGAAGTGAAGATAGAGCTCATATGCTTATCTTTGTGAAGTGTGGATATAGCTTATATGCTTATCTGTGAATGTGGGATTTTGTTTAGTCACATATCTGTTGTAGAATGTGGATATAGCTTATATGCTTATCTGTGGATATTGTTGTTATACATATCTGTTGTAGAATGTGGATATAGCTTATGTGCTTGTCTGTGGATATTGTTGTTATACATATCTGTTGAGAATGTGGATATAGCTTATATGCTTATCTGAATGTGGGATATAGTTTTTATACATATCTATGGAAATGATGATAAAGCTAGCATGCTTATCTGTTGAAAAAGGGAAAATGGAAGGTAACTTAGACTCGTAAGTTGTATGACATAAATGTGTAATTTATGTGAATGTATCTGTGTTAGCCATCTATCAATTGCTAATCTTTTAGTCATTGTTCATGGTTGGTTTAGTATATTTCTACTGGGCTGTGGCTCACCCTATATGGGAATATCATTTTCAGGTGCAGGAAGCATGCCACCTCCAAAGACATAGCTGGGAGGCTAGAGGCGGACATACTTTTGTCGCTTAACTTTTGATGTATTACATGTAACTTCAAGCCAAGGGCTTAATGTGTAAACGAGTTAGTACTCTTTTGTTGTAACCAAGTGTTAACTTGGAAAGCTGTAAGCCCGTAGGGCATTTTGTTTTGATGTTAACATGTCATACTTATGTAATGGAACTCTGTTGAATAAAAGAATGTGGTTAGTTTATATGTAAATGCATGTCTTATTTGATGGGTTTAATGTTGTTATTTTGAGGGCGTTACATAAGCAGTTTATCAAATAAGCATTTAGCCTCATGACAATCATTCGCACTCATGCAAGTATGCTAAAGCATTAAAAACTCACCTAGTACTCCAAGTTAAGATAAAATAAAAGAGTTAGAAAAATATGCATGATTCCTCACTATGCGAAATGTCTAATACAACACATGCAACATGCAATTAATAGGCTCGGCTACTAATATGACATATGGATCAATTTTGATAGCATGCGATTAAACATGTATTCAACGAAATATTGAAATGACAATGCAGTTAGAATGATGCGCCGAATCTCGGTGCATGCAATACGAATGAATGGATGCAAGCATAAGGTATGCTAATTGAAACATGTCTCTAATCTAACCATCAAAAGCGGATAAATAAAAGAGAGAGACATGTGGTTGGAAGGCATACACATTATTACAACACGCTTTTACGAAGGAGAGTCTGAATAAATAAACTAGCTAACCATGCTAAGCTAAACTAATTAAGCTAATTATTACAAAACTTAAATAAATAGCTAAACTAATTAACTAATTATTACAACATTTGAAATGAGTAATTAACTAACTATTTAAACTAATTAATTAAAAGAAATTAACTAGGCTAATCTAATTAAATATTACAACACCAAATAATTAGCTACAACTAATTAGACTAATTGAATATTATAACACAATTAATTAGCTACAACTAATAATACTAATGAAATAATTAATTGCATTTAATAAGAGCATCTCCAACTGTTCACTTCTTTTTTTACCAAATCTGATTAAAAAATAGGTTGTTTTCTCAATTTGATACTTCTTCTTCCAACGGTGAGCATCAAAGCAGAATTGAGGGAAGTGGTCGACCGGCCGGTCGACCGGTAAGGGTAATTTTTTTTTTTGAACTGTTTGAACCTTTTTTGACCGGTTTGAACCTACATATTTGAAAGGGAACCGGTCGACCGGTTGGTCCACCGACTGGTTGACCGGTTGGTCTCCTCCGACGGTCACGCACAGTAATTTGGTGAAACCTGTATTCTGTTCTCAGTTTGATGATTTTTTTGTTCAATTCTCATTTTGATACCAATTTGGTGAAACCGTTGGAGCTCCAAAAAGTGCATTTTTCACCAAATTTCAAATTTGATGCCAGGTTTGGAGATTAAGCCATTAAGTGTAGGTCTCCTTTATATGTTTTGAACAACCTCAATTGGTTGAAACCATTCTCAAGAATGAAAGATATGGAATGGTTGATTGATTAGTAAACTTAGACTCCAAACATGGAAAATGAATTAAGAAAGCATAACAAGTAACAAGTATGCCAACTTATGAGACCACAAGTGTATTAAACAAGGCATGAACCAATTGAAAAGGCCTAGACAACCTCAAAACAGCCCTTAATACATGAAAATCAGAGGTAAAACATGCATGAAAAGAGTTTGAAAAGCTAGACAATAAAGAAGAGAATTAAGGCTAGTAAACAAAGAAGAGGGGTGGCTAATCCCTCCACTTTTGAAGCTTCAAAACATGATTTTTAGCCTTTCTAAACCTCTGAAAATCAGTGTAAATACCAAAGGAAAAGAGTGAAAATGAGAAGGTTTGAGTTATAAGTAAAGGTATAGAAAGAGCAAGCTCTCTCCGCCCTTTTGGTAACTCTTCAAACCCAACTCCAAACACTTCAAACAAGCTCAAAACAATCCAAAACAACAAGAAATATGAAGTAAATGATAGAAATGAAGGCAAGAGAAGAGAAAACAAGCTTATACCTTTCAAGAAGTAAACTTCTTGTTGATGTTTCAAACTTGGTTTTAATGCACTCTCAAGCTTGAGTTATACTTCTCCAAGATCAACCATGGCTTTAGGGTGGTAAGACAAGGTTATATATGGTGTATATAGGTGATGTAAGCAAGCTAGGTTAGCTCAAAGATGACTTGCAATGGAAGGAGGAGAAAAGAGCTCTCAAGGTGTATATATCACTTCTAGAATTTTTTTCAACCCTCAAAACAATCCCAGAGCTTTGGTTTTATAGAATTCGAGCTCAAAAGGTGATAAATATCTTCAAAAATGGATAGCTGGTGGCCTTCCGCCCAGAACAGTGTTTGTCGCCATCGAAGGTCAGCTGGCCATTCATAGTCACGGCCGGCCATCACTGATGCACGGTCGGGCCTTGATGGGCTCTCTTGTTTTTTTGGTTCAAACTTAGCTCAGGGTAGGAAAAGGCCCACAAATGAAACTCATGGGTTCAAACAAGGTAAATGTTGAAGACGTGAGGTTATTTCGGAAGCATGATTGATTCCGAATCGCTGCGAATTTATAATTCAACTTTCATCATTGAGTGCTTTGAACCAAGCGTTTGAGTCTTGCGGGCGGTCAACAGTGTTTGTCGCCATCGAAGGTCAGCTGGCCATTCATAGTCACGGCCGGCCATCACTGATGCACGGTCGGGCCTTGATGGGCTCTCTTGTTTTTTTGGTTCAAACTTAGCTCAGGGTAGGAAAAGGCCCACAAATGAAACTCATGGGTTCAAACAAGGTAAATGTTGAAGACGTGAGGTTATTTCGGAAGCATGATTGATTCCGAATCGCTGCGAATTTATAATTCAACTTTCATCATTGAGTGCTTTGAACCAAGCGTTTGAGTCTTGCGGGCGGGTCAAAAATGGGGTGTGTACAGTTGCCCTCTTTGACAGAGCTTGGAGTTATAAAATGACGTGAATGAATGTCAAAGCCTAGAGACAACCACTACAACAAAATTGACTTTTCACGGCACCACATCCACAACATACAATGAATGCAAGCCGTAATTTCTCACGTTTACGACTTGTTTTTTTTGCATGTCGTAAATAATAAACTAACCACGACGTGTCTATTGCGCAGGCCGTTAATAGTAAAAATGATAGTTTTTTTACGGCTTGCATTGCGCGCTGTAATTAATAAAACCTTCTATGACATACATATAGCATGCCATTAATACATCAGTTATATATGACACGCGTCTGCCAGTCATTAAAAATAAGCCACTTTTTACGACTTACTATGTAGGTCGTGAATGGTATCCCAAAACACTTCAAGCGCCAAAACCCAATTTTTTTGGCGCCACTTATCAAAATAAAAAAATATTAATTTATTTTTTTATTATCAAACAGACTGATACAGTTCAAAAAAAAGAAAAAAAGAAAACAAAAAAAACATAGTTTCTGAGAAGAGAGGGAGACGTAGGTGAAGGGGAAAGGTTTCTTCAAACACTTCTTCAATCAATTGAATCGGTGGAGATCCATTGACACAGTCTGCTTCGACTTACTACGAGAAGAAAGGTCCGTTGACGCAGTTTGCTTCGACTGCTTCGACTTGGACTTGGCTTCAATTTGTAATCTGCTTCGACTACTTCGACTTCTTCGACTTCGACTAGTAAGGCACTCTCTCTTCTCTTCCTTCTTCCTGAAACCCTTGTTTTGTCTCTCTCTCTCTCTGACTCTCTCTCTCTCTCTCTCGGTATATATATATATATTTATATCCCCCTCCTCCCTTCTCTTCTTTGTTTTTTTGTTTGTTTTTATGCACTGTGGAATCTGTCCCTTTCTATGCTTGAACTGATGGATGAATGAAATGCATCTGCTGTTTGTTTTTATATTGGGCGTTTGAGTTGTAAGAACTAGATTAATGTTGTAAGAGCTTTGAGCATTTGAATGAATATTTTATGCCTATGTGAGCAGTGTACTTTGCATCTAGTTTTTGAGGACTTTGTTGAATAGATTTCTATAATTTTTGAATAGGTTTAGGTAATGTTTACAAACTTATATATGTACAGTTTTGGATGGTTTATAACTTTTTGGATAATTTAGAACTTAAGGACAGTCCTTTTGAATGTTTTTGAACTTGCAGTTAGGTTTTGGATGTTTGGAATGAATATATTGATAATTTTTTAATGTTTATGATTTATATATATAGTTTATTTTTTATGGTTGAAATAATATTGTCGTGGTTGATTAATATTTTGTGAAGCTTGTTTGAAATATTAGATTGTACAAAACATGCCAAATAGAATCTGCTGAATTAAAAAAAAAAATGCACATTTTACGGCAAGCAAATTAGGTCATTATATGAAATATTCCACAGCGTTCCATGTATGTCGTGGTATGTTTTACTTATCTACGGCAGGCTAAGCAAGTTGTTGTATTATATATTTTACGACACATAATCAGCACCGTTATTTGTCCCACCAAATAACGGCATGCAAAAGTAGTCGTAGAAAAAGTAACGACACACAAAATTTGTCGTTAAATAGTTTTTAACGGCATACTATAACATGTCGTAGAAAAAGTATCAACGACGCATATCGTTAAATAGTTTTTAACAGCGTACTACAGCATGTCGTAAAAAAAATATCGACGATGCACAAAATCTATCGTTAAATAGTTTTTAACGGCGTGCGAAGCATGTCATTGAAAGTGAACAACTTTCTATGACTGGTCATAATATGACGTGTCGTTGCACGTTGTAAAAGGATTTTTATGGCATGCATTGCGCGTCGTAAAAACCCTTTTTTTCTTGTAGTGAACCCATTTTGACAAGGCTGCAACACTTGGACAAGAAAGCAAGACATAAATAAATTAGTTGTGCCCGCAGGCTGCCTACGTATCCCTTTGCAAGGAATCAAACTAGCATAGTTTTGGGGCAAGATGCAAATGACATGCATGATGCAAGAACATAACTTATGATCATGCAATGAGGCTACGCAATGAAACATTTGAATGCGAATGCAA